TGGATTTTTTTGCAGTGAAAAGATAGTAAAGGGTTGATTTCCACCCAGAAAAGCAGGGATGGAAGTGATGATTTAGTGCGGGTTGATATTCCTGCCAGGATGTCAGCAAGGCTGGATAAAATCCAATAATCGAAATAAGGCAAATAGATCATGTTTGTGCTTGGACACAAAGGCAGGAAAATAAGTAACACCATAAAATAATTAAAAACCCATAGAAAAGCCCCATGCCAGCGACCTTTAAGGCACATAACCCAAAAACCTCCTTAGCAAACCTTAGTAAACAACCATTCACCACCTCCCACCACTGATGCCAGGCTCCCTTCAGCGCCCAGGACGAGGAGCGACGGCCACAAACCAAAACAGGAAATTCCACCTCAACCTGCGGAAGAGCTTCTCCCCGTGGAGATGGGCTGAAAATCCAACAGGATCACCTTCCAACAATGCCAATCCCCGGCGGCAGCGCTGGGAACGCTCCCGCAGCTCTCGGGGCTGTGGGAATGGCCGGAGCCCTTCCCAGCGCTGAGGTGTCACCTGCCCCAGGTGAGCAGGGCTGGGCAGGGCTGGGCTGGGCTGGGCTGGGAGATCCTTTAAACCCAGCCAGGCCGACATTCGGATCCCTCAGCCGGGTCTCCTCCCTTCCCATCCCGTCCCGTCCCCTCCTACCTGCGCAGCGCCCCCGCAGCTCCCGGCGGCGACGTGTGGGGAACCGGGCGGGTCCTGCAGTCCCTATGGAAACGCGCCCTACGGAGAGCCGGCCCTATGGAAATGTGCCCTATAGAAGCCCGGCCCCATAGAAGCCCAGCCCTATGGAGAATTTGCCCTATGAAAGCGCACCCTATGGAAACCCAGCCCTATAGAAACCCAGCCCTATGGAAGCCCGTCCCTAAGGAACGCCACCACCCCCGCCCTCAGCGGGGCCGCACCACCGAGCCCCCTGCGGGGAGAGCCGGGGCATGGCGGTGCGGGAGGGCTCCAGCTGTGTCTATCAGCTGAAATCGCTGTAGTTGTCACCCGCTGTCGTTGTCACCCGCTGTCGCTGTCACCTTTGTCCCGGTGTCAGCCTCGGTCGCGTCGCGCCACAGCACGCAGCGCGTCACCTGCTTCCCCCCCCCGCCCTGCGGGGAGATGGTACAACCCGGAAGGCGGACCGGGCGCTGAGCGCCCTCTGGCGGCGCGGGCGGGGACGGCGGCTCCGCACCGGGAGAGCCCCGGGATGCACCGGGAGAGTCCCTGGAAACACCGGGAGAGCCCCGGGATGCACCGGGAGAGTCCCTGGAAACAACGGGATGCACCGGGAGAGCTCCTGGATGCACTGGGAGAGCTCCGGGATGCATCGGGAGAATCCCCGGAAACACCGGGATGCACCGGGAGAGACCCTGGAAACACCGGGATGCACCGGGATGCACCGGGAGAACTCCAGGATGCACCGGGAGAGCCCCGGGACGCACCGGGATGTGAGAAACAGGGCTGACTATTGAATATTTTAATAAAAGTTTCTGAAGGATAAAATGCAGCGCTGGGTGCTTGGCTAAGCACGTTCTCCATTTACTGTCACATTACAGGGGACATGAATATTCATAAGAGTTCATACATATTCAAACATCCCTTTGAGTTTAGATGCTCTTTTGCTTTATTTTAACCTTTGACTTGTCTTCATGCCGTCTTGTAGATTAAATTAATATATTTTATGTCTTCTTGTGGCTCCATCCTGTTGTATTTTCACTCCCTGATAGCGAGGCTCAATAAATTCTTATTTTTGCAGCACTCTGGTTTCTGTTTCTGTTATCTTGTCTTTCAGAGAAGATAATCCCTGAATCTGGGAAGTCGCCCCATTATTTTTAAAACCTTTTAATAATACTACAATATTATTTCACACCTTTTTTTCTGAGTTAGTGACATGAAAAAGCATTTCAACATTTCACAGTCATTATTATGCTACGGTCTAAGGTAGTATATATTACACTACTATGTGGATTTAGGAAAAAAAAAAGCATTTTGGGGAAATTTTTATGTTTTTTATGAGAGGTCAGATGTCGCATTTATAGAAGGCTCCCATGTAAGGAGACATCTGTTTGCTTGGAAGAAAGTGATTGTGCTGGAGGAATTTTAGTCCTGTGACAGCAAATCAAAGAACAAACCAAACAAACAAAATCAAAATTCCCATGTGAAATAAAATACAGGATCGTGCCCAAAAAGGATTCATATATTGTGGAAACATTATTGAACCTCAGTTTCTCTTCCCCTTCCTTTCTTTTTTTTCCTTTGCCATCCCTTCCCCTCTTCCCTCCCTTTTCCCCTTCTCCTTTTTCTCCTTTTTTTCTTCCCTCTTTCCCTTCTCTCTCTTTTCTTGGTTTGTTTTTTTTTTAAACATGCAGGCAGAAAATCCTGGTTGCTCAAAGCAGCTGAGGAAAAAAAAAAAAATCAAGGGAAATGCATTAATTCAGTTAATTAATTCAAGGTGAGAGAAGAGAAATTGTTCAGATTTGGATGATACTGTTTCAGTGATAAGTTACATTAAGTGTTAAGTAACACATTAAACATTAAATTACATGACATTATGTACAATAAATATATTGTTACATTAATATACTGTTTCCCTCTCTTGGTACCACCTGCCTCTCCCCTTCCTAGCTAGATTTTAGGAATTTAACCTTTCCAAATTGCAGTGCCAACAGTTCAAATTTCAGTTTCTAAATTTTAGAATTATTATTGGAAATGCTGGTCAGAACTAAGCATGCTCCTCAGTGAGCAAAGAATTTGTATTTTTGATGATAATAAGTATATAATAAGTATAATATATAATATAATATACAATATAATATGTAATATAGTATGCAATATAATACAATATAAAATATCCATCAGCTTAAGTCTTTTTGGCCATTATCAAAGCACCCCCAGTGCTAGAAATAGTGTTCTTTTTTTTTTATCCTATTATTAAACTTTTAACAATTCTAAGCAGTGAACTCTGTTTTTCACAACTCTGTTTAGGATCAACATCCCCGTGAGGAACGGCAGTGACTCTCCAGCCAGCACCTCCCACTTTGCCTCCTCACCCTGACACAGAGGAAGTTGGTTTAAAAAGAACTTAATTTGAGAATTGGAAACGCACTGAAGTATCAGAGAATGGTTTGGGATGGAAGGAATCTTAAAGATCATCTAATTCCAGCCCCCTGCTATGGGCAGGGACACTTCCACCATCCCACATTGCTCCAAGCTCCAGCCATCCCAGTCTTGGACACTTCCAGGCATTTATAATATCTCTGAACAACCTGTGCCAGGCCTCACCACCCTGACATAAGGAATTTCTTCCCAATATCCAATCCAAACCCGCTCTCTTTCCAATTCAGGCCATTCCCCCTTGTTCTGACTCCATGGCCCTATGGAAAGCCCCTCTCCAGCTCCCCCACATCCCTTTAGGCTGCTCTGAGGTCACCCCAGAGCCTTCTCCTCTCCAGGCTGGGTTCTACTCAAAGTTTTACAGCTCAGCAAAACACTCCAGCATGAGTTTAACACCTTTGGTAAAACTTGCAAACCTAGAATTTGGATGAAGCTAAAACAAAAGCCAGACCAACCAAGAAGATCTGAATTAGACTTGCCAAGGTGTGTTTGGAATGTTTGGAGATGCCACACAGATGGACACACAGCTTTTGAAGCTCAGTGACTCAGGCAGCACTTGGGAGATGAAGAGTTAGGCAGGATTCCCCAGTGCAGGATTAAGTCTCTTAAAGCTCTGACTAAATCCAGGAGCCACGTTGTGTTTTGCTGAGATCCCAGTAACACAACTGGAAGGGCACACACAAACTGGTTTTACTCTGTGGCACAGCAGCAGGGTTGAGTTCCAAAACTTTCACAGCTTTTGTGCCAGTTTTTGGCTTCTTTTTATCTTTTCTCATATTAGGATTGCAGGCACTTGAAATTATAGTTTGTGTTTACTCAAATTATTTCTCATCTATGTTACAGTCTCACAAACTGTGAGTTCTGCAGTATTCTACTAACAAGGCACAAAATGGCAAACTATCTTTCATTACCAGGTCTTTTTAGGATAAACTGTCCAATTAAGAAATGACACCTCAATTATTTTCACTTTTAACCCGATACCCAACCACCCGTGCCCACAATGGGGACTTTTTTATCCAATTGCACAAAACCACCCAAACCCATGGAGAAGGAGGTGAAGGAGAAGGAGCAGCCTCCACCCTAAAACCTCCATCTTGCTTTATATCTATTCCTGCATTCTAAACCCTTCAACTCTGAGTTTCCCACCCTGTGATATCACACACTTCTATTCAAACTCCACACCTGTAATCTCAGTTTTATTATTGAATTTTGGGAGCTTCTCCATGGCCTCAGGTCAGTGCAGTGTTCTCCTGGGGGTCAGTGCTGGCAGCACAGAAAGTCCCAAATTCTCAGCAGCAAGGGTATCAATACTTTGTTATTTTCCCCCCTAAACCCAAGGCCTCTGAGGTTTTTTCCTTCCCAGAGAATAACTACCCTGAGAACTTTTGGCCTTCCCTTCAAGGACCTCTGGGGCATGACAGATGAGGTAATTCTTCACAAAAACAATGCTCCTGTATGCTTAAAAAAACCAATTTATAACCAGCCCTTTGTTCTGTGCTGATAAGCAATTAATAATCCCCCACAATATTTATTCCCAATGCCTTCCACTCCAAGGCTTCCCAACCCAAGCTGTTCTGGGGGAGGCCAATGTCAAAGCCAGCCAGCATCACTCCCTGACTCCTGATTAACAATTAACAAGCCCATTATTGATTTGTCATTACTAACAACAGCTTTATGGGCAATTGTTTCCAGCTCCTTCAGCCTCAGAAGAGGCAATTTTTCAACTCTGAGAGTTTGAAAGGCAATAAGCAGCATTTCAGCAAATGTACAGCTCTCCATATCACTTAGAGTTGTCACTGCTGCTATGCAGAGAGCACTTAATTCAGATTTTATTAAGGAAACTTCTGGCTGTGCAATAAAGGAACTGAGGAACACTTTGCTGTGTTAGGTCTGTAGTTTATTTTCTCTGTATCCAATCCCAGCCACAAACTCTGCTGCAGAAAACGAAAATATATTTTCTGACCTTTTAAGTTTTTAGTACCAGAATATAAATCAGTAATTATTTATTGATATATTAATAACACCAACTGATTATGTTTGGCTATAAATGGTGGATCAGCGCTATTTTTATTTACACCTAATTCAGTTTAGTTCTGATAGTAACAAATGTCTGTCCAACAGTGATTCTGATCTTGCTCTCCCCCTAGACAGATCACAGCAGCTCTAGAACAACCCCATCCTCTTCAGAAAACCCTGTGCAGCCTCCAGAACAGCTCTGGATCCTGGAAAATTCTACTGTGATGAGAGATAAGGCACCTGCTTCCTCATCCCAGCTCCATGAGACCCATGCCAGGGGAGAGGGAAAAGGGAATGATGGAATCAGGAATGAAATCAGGAAAATGAGCTCAGCCCCCTTTCCATCCCCAGCCCCCTGAGCTCACCAGGGTTTGACAGTTTTGTCACTGACAAATTGGCCGTGAGGAGCATCAGCACTGGAAGGCAAAAGGGCCAAATACACGGGGGTCTCAGCCCCCTCATCTGGGGACTTGGTGGCCTTGGGACCTGCCATGTCTGTCCTGACCCAGCCAGGGCAGCAGGCGTTGAGGAGGATGTGGTCTCCTTTCCTCTGCTCGTTCAACAGCCGCGCTTGGATCCTGGACAAGACGGTGACCCCGATTTTGGACACCCCATAGGCAGTGTTTGGCCAACCCTCTTTGTCATGGACACTTCTCTTGGTGTCTTCCACGAATTTGGCCATGAGCTGCACCAGCTCATCCTCAGTGATGGTGTCACTGCGGAATTTCTGCTGCAGCTCCTGGCTGCAGCCTCTCAGGGCTGAGATGCTCACCATGCTGGAGACGTTCACCACCCGACCTGAAGAGAGAATAAAAACTGGTTATTTTCACCCATTTTAAGCTCACACTGAAGTAGGGCTGCTCTCCAGTTCTGGATTCACTCCTCAGGTAAATAGCTGTACAATATTTTAGGTGGGTTGTTTTGCAGAGCTCCTGGAAAATCAGATTAACTCAATGTTCTGATTTCTAGTAAGTACCATGAGAAGTAATTTAAGGTGTGAACCTGCAAATCAGATAAACCTCCAGGAAACGATTTCACAATCAGAAGGTACACTCTTACTACAGTAGAAATAATACCTGGAGATTTACAAATTTAAGGCTGTATCTCCCAGCACTTCAGTAAGAGGAACAAGTCAGCTGAATCAGTAAATCACTCATCTCCAAATTATGTTGCACTGTTTCCCCTTTTTTCTGCTACTTCACAGTCAGTCTGGTGGTGAAATTGGGGATTTAATCTTAAAAGACACAGAAATTAACGCTGTTAATGACTTTATTTAAACAGCCATCCTTCACTGTAGTAGTAGAGGACTAAACTGCAACTTTGGCACTGTTTCCCCTCTCCCCAAAATTCACAGACTCCATTTATTCCTTCTCCCTCAGGAAATAAAAACCTGCTTTTTATCTAGTTGACTTCTTTTTTCCTTGAAAACCTCAATGTATTCAAATATTAGGAGACACTACATTTCATTTATAGCAGCAAACACATCACCACACCACATCTGAAACACTGGTGCAGTGCCTGAGACTGGACAGGATTTCCCATTGAAAAGGGCTAAAATTTAAACAAAACTCTTTCTCCACTTGTCATGTTTCACTTACCATAAGGCTTCATGAGAGGCAGCAATTCCGTGCAAACATTCCTGGTTCCAAAAAAGTTTGTCTTCAGTGTAACCTCAGCTTGGACTGCAAATGGAGTGGTGTCATGGACTGGTTGTAAGAGGTAGGAAGGAAGTGGGGAAAAAAGAACCAAAAATTAGAATTGTAACACTGAATAGAAGTTACCAAACCCCAAGAGTTTATCTTAGTTGCTGTTTTTAATAGTTAGGAAACAGGTATATGATCACACACTGGGCAGTTCATTGTCTCTAAATCCATGGTAATTCAAAAGAGAAATTTTAACAGGTCGTTATTTGATGTGGTTTTTATTGCAAAACATGTTTAATGACCCACACTCATTTGTAAATCACTCACTTGCATTTAAATCTCACACACAAAGGCAGAGCATGACCCATGGCCAGGATTATGGCAGAGAGAGAACTAAAATCCTGCAGAACCCCAAATCCTGCTTCCATATGCTTCCTTTCTTGTGAGAGAGAATCTCCTTACACCCCAAACCACACTCATGTGTCTAACAGGGTATGTGGTAACATCTTGAGCTCCCCTGGTTAAAGAAGCTTTATTAGACAACTCTTCCCAGAGAGGCTCATCCAGAAGACAACCACAGCTCCACCATTTGATACAAGTAGTTTTTGCTGCATTAAGGACTTTGCTGGGCAAACGTGGCACAAAACCAAAATAACAAAACTTAATGGCAAATCTAATCTTTGACAGATGCAATAACACATAATGCTAAACTAAAAAGGAGAGCATAAATTCTGGGATGGCAGCAAAAACTTGGTGAGGCAAGAAATAAGCTTGGGTAGAAATACCAATCTAGGAAGCAAAAATTAAAACTATGAGAGAAGCAAGACACTAAGTTCTAACACAGATATTACGCCCTCTGTGCTTGATACTCACAGCAACAGTTCCTTTATCACATCCTAAATTGTGTGATGGCTGACTCAGTTGTTGCCAGCTTGAGGAAAGTCAAGGCTAAACATCTGGAAGTGATATTTTAACCGCTGCTGGAATCTTTCCTGAGCACACCCTGGAGCTCAGCCAAATCTATTAAGAGCTGCCTCCCAATAAGCTGATCTTAAGCAATTTTCCTATAAAGTAAGAGTCAGAAGATCATCACTGCACTCCCACTCCATGAGAAGTTCCCTACTCTCTTTCAGTGTGAAGCCATTCCCTCATGGAATGTCCCAATTAGGCCACCCCAAAGCTTCTTCTGTGCAGGGGAACAATCCCAGCTGTGCCAGCCTTTCCTCCCAGCAGAGCTGCTCCATCCCTCTGCTCATCCTGGAGCCTCCTCTGGGCTCTCTGCAGCAGCTCCAGCTCCTCCTGGGCTGGGACAGGGCTGGGGCAGCTCTGCAGGTGGGATCTCACCTGAGGGGGCACAGGGACAAAATTTCCCCCCTAAAACCATCAGCCACAATCTGTCTGGAGCAAATTCTGATTCTGGATTTCATACACACAACAAAAATGCATCCTTCCACCTTGAAACTGCTGTGTCTTTCTCACTTTCCCTGCCTTTCTGGCCACTGGGAGGAGAAAGGTGTGGGAATGCAGGGCTTCCCTCTGGCTGCCCTGGCAGGGGTCAGGAACCCCCCTGGACAGAGCCCCCAGAGACACTGGCTGTGATCTCTGTCCATGGAGAGGAGTTTTCAATCTTACAGGATGAATTACCAGCTCTGAGTGTTTGATATCAGTAATAATTAAGTGTGGCACAGGTGCAAAAGTAAAATTTTAGGATTCTAGATGAGGGGTCCAAAGGGGACAAGATGGAGGAAATTGGGTGTGCCTTGTCCTTTTTCTCCTTCTTCATGCCCTCCATGTTTCACTGTGGTGTTGGCATTTTTCTGTTGGTTTAGGCTGGGGACACACTGTCCAACGTAGGTGACAGATATTGGCACGTTATTGTAAATCCAGCACAGGTAGTTTCTGGTATTTAATGTTTGTACCATCCCACTGAGGGCAGAGCCCCACACGCTGCCCTGCAGGACAGAGCTGCGGCAGGGCAGCAGAACATGTTAGAGATAAACAGAATAAACAACCTTGAAACCAGCACAGACCAATTATGGCTTCTGCTTTGGCAGCGGGGCTGAAAGACAGAGACTTTCTACAATCCTGGAACCATCAATACCCACAGATTCCGACAGAAAGGGTTAAATTCTTGCTCAGCACAGCAGGATTTGAGTGGTTTAGAGGTGACTGAATGGCCTGAAAAAGCTCGGGATAGCAAAGCCCAGGCAGGGACAATAAAGGTGCTTTTTCATCAGCTGGAATCCCTGAGCAGATAATGCACAGACCACAGCATGGGGGTGGAGAACAGGGAAAATGCAGCTCCCTGAGGCACAGGGAGACATTCCCAAGGGAGATGGGCTCCCATGGCCCTGCTGGAACTCCTGGGCACTGAGGCACTTAACACAACCCAGCCCACCTGCCCTGTGTGCCTCAACATTTCCATGTGGTGCAAACACAGCCCTCCAGGGAAGCATGTGCACAGAATAATTGAATTGTCACAGCTGGAAAAGTTCTCCCAGCCCATGGAGTCCCAGCTGTGCCCGATGCTCACCTTGTCCCCAGCCCAGAGCACTCAGTGCCACCTCCAGGGGACACCTGCAGGGATGGGCACTCCAAAGCTCCCTGGGCAGCCTGAGCACCCTTTCCATGGGGAAATCCCTGCTGCTGTCCAAGCTAGCCCTCCCCTGGCACACTGGTCTCACATCACCCTTAAGATGGGAATTTTGCCCAAGCAAAAAAGCAGTGGCACAGAAGTGTTGATGCATCTGCAGGAATGTGCCTCCTGTTGACAGAGTGACTAAATCATCTTTTCTCTCCTTAGAAAGGAAAAAAGCCCAGAAGTTTCTCTCCTCAATTTGGTTAAATGACACCTCACAGGACCTTGGGGACTTCACCTCAAACCTAAGGATACCCAACTGGACAGAAGTCAAAAGGTGCCACCTAGGTAATTCACTAGAAAAAGAAGAGAACAAAGGAAGCAATCTCTTTTGTGAAGTGTTTTAGCAGCAGCAAAACCTCTTGCCCTGGCTTGGGTTTTCTCTGCAAAGAGCTTTGTTATTTTGCCTTTTAATAAATCTTTTCTGTTTCCAACACTGTCTCAGAAGCCATCCTGCTAATCTTAAGCCATCTGAGGTAGCTGAGCTATCTCAGGTGTGTTACCTTTCTCTGAAAGCTTAGAGAGATACGGAAATCAGAACACAGGACTTCCCCAAGAGAGCACTTCCTACCTTTGAAAGCGATGCCAGCATTGTTCACCAGCACGTTGATCCCTCCATACTTTTCCTTCAGGAAGTCCCGGAGCGCTCGGATGCTCTGCAGGTCATCGATGTCCAGCTGGTGGAAGAGCGGGTGCAGCCCTTCCTGCTGGAGCTGTGCCACGGCAGCCTGGCCACGGCCGGGATCCCGGGAGGTCAGGTACACATCCCCTGGGAACTGCTTGCACAGGGCTCGCACGATGGCCAAGCCAATCCCTTTGTTGGAGCCTGTCACCACAGCCACCTGCACGCTGGACATTGTCCCCTCGGAACAGGAACTGGCAGCAGCAAAGAAAAGTTCACTCAGACAGACAAAATGGCTGTTTGGAAAGGAATTAGAATCGTGGGATGGTTTGGGTTGGGAGGGTCCTTAAAGATCATCTCATTGCCATGGATACCTTCCACTATCCCAATAGCTCCAAGCCCCATCCAACCTGGCCTTGAATATTTCCAGCAGTGTGGAGCCTCCCCGGACAAGTGTTTTTTCTTTAAAATACTATTTAAAATTCCACCTTGGATTATGTGAATCTACATTCCTGTGCAAGCCGTGTAAATTCCTAAGGCAACACGAGGTATTCTCGTGTTCTGAAGAAAGGCCAACCCGTGATGGGTAAAAAGAAGAAAGAAATGTCTCTACTAAAAAATACCAGTGACTAATCTTTAATACTAAATTAACTTTTTGTAAGAGTAAGCTCTTCTGCACTAACAGCTCACAGGAAGACTTTCCATCTTTTGGGAATATTCAATTAGTTCAGCTCAAGTTTTGCTGAAAACTTCAGGCTCAAAACCTGAGCAACCTGGTTTAGTGCAAGGTATCCTTGTCCATGGCAAGGGTTGCAAATGGATGATCTTTAAAGTCCAAAACAATATAAAAAAAGGATGGGGTAGCTCTATCTTCCAGGGCCAGGCAGGAGGAGTAATTACAGCCTTTTCGGCTGGGAAAACAGCAGAAAACAGGCTTCCTACAATGGCTGGTTGTGTAACACACCATCCGAAAACCTGCTTGCTGCTTTTCTAACCGATACAGTGCATTCAAAAAAGCTGCATTTCCCTCATAAAAGCAAGTTTAAACGCTGAGTTTGCCCCTCTTTTGGCATTATTCCACTCCAAAATCTCCAGTCCCGGGGCCAGGAGCGCCGTTCCCACCTCACCGCGAGTCTCCCTCTCTTCCCCTTCTCTCGTCCCCTCACGGGAGGGAACCGCCATGAACCCCGACACCCTCGGGGGTGAAGGGTCCTGGGGGACACCCAGCACCGCAGCACCCACCTGCAGCACGGCGGGCACCTCTCCCTCGTCCCTCAGCTCCGCACAGCGAGGACAGAACGCGTTATACACAAAAAAAAGCCACTCGTACACAGCGGCGAAGGGAGATGGGGACGCCCCTAAGATGGCGGGGCAGCCCCGCCTCAGGGGCGGGAGAGCGGGCGGGGAGAGGGATCCCGAGGGAATGTCGGTCCTTGTATCCCCTCAGCAGGTAGGTTTGGGACTCTGAGCAGCAATTCCAGCCCAGGAGAGACTCGGGAATCACAGTGTGGGCTGGCAGGGGAGGATGCGGTGGTGGTTTCCAGCGGAGTGCGCGGGGCACGGGCGCGTCCCTCAGGACGTTCCCGCTCTCGCAGCGCTGCCGGGGCCGCTTTAGTCCCTCCTGTCCTGGGGGTTTGTACCGACCGGGAAATGGGGGTTAGCACAGGATTCCCAGTTCTGGGATGGGATGATAGGGGATGGGATTTGGACTTGGTCATCTCTGAGGCCTTTTTAGCCCAAATAGGATGGGATGGAGGGCCGGCCTCTGGAGGAGCCCGAGCGCCTGTGGGGGATCCCGGCTCCTGAGGCCCTCCCCCCTGGCAGGGAAAAGCTGCGATTTGAGCTTCATTTCAGTGCAGTTTTGGCAAAAGGAAGGAGATTAGGGAAAGATTCTTCCCCCAGAGGGTGCTGGCACTGCCCAGGGAATGGGCACGGCCCCGAGGCTGCCAGAGCTGCAGGAGCCTTTGGCCAGCGCTGCCAGGGATGCCCAGGGTGGGATTTTGGGGGTCTGGGCAGGGCAGGGGTGGAACTGGATGATCCCTGTGGATCTTTCCCAACTCAGGATATTCATAAATCTATGAAATATCATCCCATCCCATGGGCAGGGACACCTCCCACTGTCCCAGGCTGCTCCAAGCCCAGTGTCCAACCCGGCCTTGGGCACTGCCAGGGATCCAGGGGCAGCCACAGCTGCTCTGGGCTCCCTGTGCCAGGGCCTGCCCATGCTCACAGTAATAAATTGGACTTTAAATGTTTCTAAATCAGTTATTTTAAACTTTATTTTAAATTCAGGTTGTCTAAAAAAGGCAAAATCTGTTGCTTAATATGAAGAAGAGCAGAGGTCGGACGGGTCGAAACAGAAGAAGAAAACACTTGAAGAGTTTTATGGATGGAGGTATTATCATGCCTGGAAGTTAAATTATAAAATAACCAATTGTTCATCAAGGTGTCATTTTATTATTTATATTTTCATAAGCCTTTGTCCTTGGAAAATTACATTCATGAATGTTATCTTTTTTTATAGGCAAACATCTGAGCGTTAGATTACAGTCCCAAGCAGAGCATGGTGAATTTTATGAGCTCATTTTTCTGCCTAATGGCAAATATTACATTATTCTAAAATTCCTTGGACATGCTGAATAACTCACACATTTCTGAGACCTCCCAGTGACCAGAGATGCCAAATTTATTTAGTTCAATTCCTTCTTGCTATTCTGTTATGCTTTAAAATGTCCAAAATACAGCTTTTCTGACTATACAGTAAAATATTTATATTTCCTTTATTGTCCAACAGAATGCTCTTTAATAGCATTAATTTTTTTTTTCTGTTTTTAGTCAACTGCAGTCACAAGCTGGAATACATTAAACTTAAAAAGTGGCTAAAAGAGAGAGGCTTTGAAGACAGTAATTTAAGGCCAGCAGAGTTCTGGGGTAATGCTTTAATTATTTATTGATGGTACAAATTTCTCAGTCTTCTAAGAATTTTAGATTCTTGCAATTCCTTTTGAATTATGCCCCTGTCTGGCATCAGGGAAAAAAAAAACGGTTACTGATCCTCTTCCAAGGATTCTTGGAATCTCAATTTAATATGAAACAATAGATATGGAGGCCTGAAAAAGCCAAAATTTCAAGTGTTAATAACACAGTTTTGGGAATTTAACCTTATTATAACTTGTTTATCTTTTTATCCCCAAGCAAGTTCAGCAGAGAGCTGAGGTTCACTTAGCAGTCTTTACAGTAAAGATTTATACTTATATTTTTAAATCTTTTTGTAGGTTATATTTTAAACATTTGGTAGTATTAGAGACAGAGCAGAAATAATAGAATGGATCAGGGAAAAATATTTTGACTAGAAATGCTAAAGTGTAGTTAAAACTCTGAAACCAAGAGTTGCAACTGTGCAAGTGATGAAAGATGTGTTTGAGTTAAAAATGGAGAAAAAGAAGGTGAATAATTGCTATAAGTGGGAGGAAAAAAAGCTGAACAATTGCTAGAACTGGACAGCAAATGCTGCAGGCTATGTAGGGAAAAGATCCTGAAAAATAAAGAGAATTGGAGAACAAAGAAATGAGGTAAATCTGGAATAGTCGATAATTGAATTTTTGTTTTGTAAGACATAGTGCCTGTTCTTTTAGAGCTTTTCCTTGCTGAGCTGATCACAGATCACTGATTTTCCATATCTACATTTATTTACTCCTGCACTTTGTTCCTTCTTCAGAGACAGGAAGAGGATTGATGACAACAAAAGCACTTCAGGTGAGTGATATTTTCTAATTTCTGAATTTCTAATGCAACTCTTCAGGTTATTTTGACATTTAATGATTTTTGCAACAAGCAAAGCTCAGAAATCCATTGTGATTGTAATTTCTGACTTTTAGACTGTTGCAGCCATAATGTGAAACCACCAGTCCCCACAGTAATTAAATGAGTCTTTACACTTGATTTTTACTGGTTTTGTGTGTAATTTTTTCCCTCCTCTCTCAAAGGCAGGAGATCTGATTATTTCATTGCCTGAGAAGTGTTTGCTCACCACTGGCACTGTCCTCAGCAGCTGCTTGGGAGGACACATTGAGAAGTAAGTGACATGGGGACTTTTTTATTTTTAATGGGGTTTTTTCAGCAGTAATAAGTCTTCTGAAGGGGTGGTGGAGCTTTAAACTGAATATTCTGATTGGTGCCAGCATTTCAGGGATCTGGAATGCTCAGACAGGGAAAAGTTTTAATAGTGAACATCCCCTTTTAGCTTGGCAGAGCTGGAGCTGTGTCACAGCCTGCTTGGCCCTAAATGCCAATTAGAAATATTTTTTTTGGGGAATTTGGGAGTCAGCTTCAATAGGAGAAGGAAGATAAAACTGAGTTGCAAAGCCAGGGCCTTTTAGAAAATTAGGAACAAATTGGAAATTTAGGAAATTTGGAGCAAAGCCCCATGCTGGGCATTGAATATTTGTGTATCCTAAAAAACCCAACCCAAGGGTGAAGCTGAAATTGTAATTAAAACCAGCTTTTATTGCCCCTTTGAAATGAGCCAAAGGACTTGGAGATGAACTACAAAGAAGTTTTAAATAGAAGCAATTTATAACTTCCAGAGAGGTCTGAGAGAGGTGAAACACTGCTGTGCTCTTTTCCCATCTCACCTCTGCGGGTCTGCTGCATTGGTATTTTTAATTTTTATTTTTTATTTCTATTTTCGTTTTAGTTTTATTATTTAATTATATATTTTTAAATTATTCTAATTTTTATTTTTAATTATTTTACTTTTATATTTATTTTTATTTCTATTTATTTTTTAAATTTAATTTTTATTTCTATTTATTTTTAAATTTTTATTTAAACTTTTATTTTGTTTTTATTTTTATTTTATTTATTTTTTATTTCTGTTATTTTATTTTTATAGTTATTTTTATTTATATTTTAAAAATATAATTTATATTTTATATTTTAAATTTTATATTTATATTTTATATTTTATATTTTAAAAATTAGTTTTTATTTTTAATTTATTTTTTATTTTAATTTTCTTTTAATTGTTTTTATTTTTATTTTTATTTCTGTTTTTAAAATTTTGAATTTTTATTTTTATTTTAAAATAATTTTATTTTTATATTTATTTTTATTTCTATTTATTTTTTAACTTTTATTTTTTATTTTAATTTTAATATTTTAATTTTTATTTATATTTTTAAATTTTTAATTTTAATTTTAATTTCATGTTGTATTTAATTTTATCTATTTTTATTTTTATTTTTTATTATTTTAATTTTTAATATTTATTTTTGCTTTTATTTTATTTTGCTTTTCCAACAGATGGAAGCCCCCCGTGTCTCCTTTGCTGGCACTGTGCACGTTTTTAATAGCAGAGAAACACGCTGGGCAGAAATCTCCATGGAAACCCTACCTGGATGTTCTCCCCAAGGCTTACACTTGCCCTGCTTGTTTGGAACCCGATATTATAAATCTTCTCCCAAAACCCTTACAAAAGAAGGCTCAGGAGCAAAAAATGCTGATCCAAGAGCTGTTCCAGTCTTCCAGAGCTTTCTTCTCTTCCTTGCAGCCTTTATTTGCAGAGGACACAGGAAACATTTTTAATTTCAGTGCTTTGCAGTGGGCTTGGTGCACTGTAAACACCAGGACAATCTACATGAAACACCCACACAGGGAGTGTTTCTCCCTGGAGCCAGATGTTTATGCACTGGCACCATATTTAGATTTGCTAAACCACAGCCCAAATGTTCAGGTAAGAAGCTCAAAATAGATCAGTAAATTCCTTTATTTTTATAAAGTTCTCTCTGTCAATACCAGCTGCGTTTCTGTGGTGGATGATAAGTGTGGGGAGGGCAGGGAGAGATCTCACAGGGGGGAGAAATGGCTCAGATCCTCAGGAACTGCAGTGCCAGGACACAGGGAATGGCTTCCCACTGCCAGAGGGCAGGGTTAGGTGGGATGTTGGGAAAAAATCCTGTCCTGGCAGGGTTCCCTGTCCTGTCCTGGGAGTCCTGTCCAGCGGCAGGGCTGGGATGGAATTCCCAGAGCAGCTGGGGCTGCCCCTGGATCCCTGGCAGTGCCCAAGGCCAGGTTGGACACTGGGGCTGGAGCAGCCTGGGACAGTGGGAGGTGTCCCTGCCATGGCAGGGGTGGGATGAGATGTTTAAAGTCCCTCCCAACCCAAACATTCAGTGATTCTATAATTTAAATATTTCAGCTGATGCAGGAGACCCTACAGTGGCTGGGGGAGATTTGCATCCAAAACTGCTTTTGGGAAGAGCCACTTATAAAAACATCCCCTTGATTTGCTCCTAAAAGCAAGACAAATTCCTTGTCCTGACACAAATTCCATGGTCCCTGGCTGAAGCCTCAGAGCAGCCTGAGGGG